TTCTCTCTCTCTCTCTCTCTCTCTCTCTCTCTCTCTCTCTCTCTCTTTCTTCTTTTTCTGTCTTTCCATCTTGAGAAAAAAATTACAGAAGAGAAATGTCGAATCTCGATCACGATCGTGGCCAAAAAAAAGTCGACGATTTTCGATTGAAGTTTTTCAATCGAACAAAAAATTTCTCATCGTAACCATGAAGAGAAGGACCCTTTTAAAATCTAGTTAATCTATTTAATTCCAATAGGAGGTAAGAATATTGAATATATCTTCTCCATTTTATTTTCTATTCTTATATATATCTCTCTTTTTACCAAAGACAATCGTCATAATTTAATCAATTTGGAATGTTTCAGTCGTAAAAATGTATCCGTTCGCGTTTTTCCTTCCTTTCTCTTATTCAAGATATATGTATATATACATATGTATATATATATATATATATTTATAACATGTTCGTCAATTGCCAGTAAACAGACAGATACATAACTCTTCTTTTGCTCACATTTCTATATAATTATTCAAAGAGATTAGATATCAACTTTACTTTTAACATCTCCTTACTTTTTCTTCTTCGCTCTATCGGGCTTTTCTTAAAAATAAAATAATACTCATTTCATCTTCACAGAACGAAACAAGAAATTCTTCGCTCAATACTTTTTTTCAATTTAACGTAAGAAAAAACCTGCCCACCAATTTTTCTTCCGATACACTTTACATGTATATCATCTTATATAGAAAATATCCTAAAAAAGAATACACAAATCGAAAAATAATATTCTTACACTTTTCTAAATTTCCAATTTTCCTTTTGTTTTCTTTTCTTTTCTTTTCTTTTTTTCTTTTCTTTTCTTTTCTTTTTTTCTTAATAATATATTCTCGTATAATGTGATCTTGTTCCGAAATAATTTGTGTGATTACCTTTTTTCAGCGAAATTTATGCCAGAATCGACACCACCACCGCCACCCTATGCCTATCCACCACCAGGTATGCCAGCTCAGGTTCCGGGTGCAGCTGTTCCGGGTGCCGCACCAGCCGCTGCACCAGGAGCTGCAGCGGGAGGAGCGGGTGGTGGAAGCGGACAACAGACCGCTGGTGCAGCGTTAGTCGGCAATTTGAACGGCATTCACAGCGTGATGTAAAGAGAAAAAGAAAAAAAAAAAAAAAGAAAAAAGAAAAAAAAAAGGAAAGAAAAAAAAAGAAAGAATATTACACTCCTCCGTACTGTATCGCAATAAGAATTTTCCATGCTAATCTCAAACGAGCAACGTGATGTCTATTGGCGTATATAAGCGTATAAGTAAAAGATATACTATAAAGTATATTAAAGAAGGAGAGAAAGCTTCGATCGATTCGCTAGATTCGCGTGTCCAAAATTCTGATCACCACAATCACACAGTACAGGTTTCTTTTCGACGTTTACAATAAGATAGAGGAAAGAATCGAATAAATTAAAATATCGATGAAATAAACGTTTGATCGAGGAACGAACAGCTAACGCGTTAACTGCCGCGATCCGCAATGAAGATGAGAGACAAAGATAATAGCTGATTCGCTAAAGATGTTCCCTGTTTTCAAGCAATCGTTAATCGTTATCGTTTTAACCGCATCATATCGATCGCAGTGCATACAATCTGAGAACTTTTCGAGAAAAGTTGAAGAATGACAAAAAAGACGCGTGGTGCATATTTATAGTAGTTCCTCTGTGCAGTTAATGTGTTAAAAGTACGCTGCAAAAAAAAGAAATTATATAAAGTCGCGAGTTCCGTAATAGCTTTTAGGGACAATTTCTGTATATTATTCACTTCCTGTTTGGTGGTGAAAGCTTAGAAAATCGGTAGGGAAGTTGATCGACCCTCCCATAACGTTTATTTCGTAATGAAAAAATAGCGAATTATATAGAAATAGATATTTCTGTATGTCGATTTCGACTAACTTCGAGAATTTTCACGTACTCCCTCGTATATGATAATCCTAGCCAAAAAAAAGTTAAAGAGGGGACGAATGAAAAATACGAGAGAGAATACTGTCCGTGTATTAATGGAGAAAAACACGTATATCTACGTATATACGTGTATGTGTACATAAATTATTACGAATTATCGATGTAAGATTGAACTATACATACATACATACATACATATATAAATAATATAACTTATAAATATACATAGTAGGTATACTGCGACGAAAAAAAAAAATATAAGAAAGAAATCAACAGAAGAAAAAAAAAAGAAGGAAGAAAGAAAGAGAAAAAGAGAGGGAGAGAAAGAGAGAGAGAGAGAGAGAGAGAGAGAGAGTGAGAGTGAGAGAGAGAGA